TATGAAAATCTGTTGTCAGTACAGCAGCTGTAACACTCAATGATGGCTTATAAATATAAATCAGTAGCATTGCTCGTCTTGGAAAATGGAGCCCTTGCTCCCTTGGAGAATGCCAAACACTCTGGCAGCGATACTCCGTAGTAGTAGTATTGTGACGATATATATCCAACCACGGAGAGCCCCACACGCCCATCCAAATGCGAAACCGAAAATTCCCCAAAATCCCAAACTGAATCCAGACAACATATCCTATTAACAATTAATGTAAGAAATAAATCACAAAATCCACACTTTCTTTGAAAATGGCACCTCCTCGATCCGGCAACACATCTAAAAAACCCAACAAAAAGGAGAGTAGTAAAAAGAAGCCGTCCTCATCTTCTTCGCAAGCACAACCACGCCGAACCACCAGCAAAACCGATCCCAACCAACATCATCATGCCGCTCATCAAAATCATGAACTCAACATCTCCACCACCATCCCGCTGACTCTCCAACAACTTCTTCTTAATGTGTTCAAAACCGCGTTGCTCACAAACGGGCACAATTACCTCCATAATCGGGAGGAGACGAAGCAGAATGATGATGAGGATGCTACCACGACTGAAGCCACTGGTGATTCAGCAGAGCAACAGCAGCAGGAGCAACTAGACATCAAGAGTCTGATCCAGACGATCAAAACCCATTTATATAATCGCGACTTTGATTCCGCTTTTACAGATGCGAATGAGGACTTACTTCGTGCTTATGCGTTGCGGTGGAGCTCGTCCAGGGCGTTGGGGTATGCCGGCATCTTTCGTGCGCTGTTGAAGGAGGTGATTAAGCCTGTTTGTAAAGATGATGATGCTGCTGCTGCTGCTGCTGCTTCTACGAAGAATGTCGTGTGTATTGGGGGTGGCGCAGGCGCTGAGATTGTTGCGCTTGCGGCTGCTTGGAGGGATTTTCTGGATGGTGCTGAACTACGATCATCTTCTTCTGCAAGTGATGAGGGCCAGATTGCGGATGCTGTTAAGGCGGTATCTTTGGATGATGGGAAAGAGAAAGAAGAAAGGGAAGAAGAAGAAAAACTACAACCAACTTCTACTAGTGCTACTGCTACCACCTATCCCGGGCTCTCCGTCACGGCGGTAGACATCGCAGACTGGTCAAAGGTAGTTGAGCGCTTATCCACCGCTATTCGATCTCCCACAGTGACTGGGTCAAAGTCGCATCCTGCTCCATTGTTATCTTCCAATGAAGACGAAGAAAAGAAGGAAAAGAAGACACCCGGTTTCAACGTCCAATTCGAGAAGTTAGATGTCCTCTCTGCGGGGGAGAAGGAACTTCAGGGGTTGTTCTCACGACAGGGCGCGGAATCATGCTCTACTGCCTTGGTGACGTTGATGTTTACTTTGAATGAACTGTTCTCAACGTCGATGGCTAAGGCGACGGGGTTTTTGCTACGTATGACGGATCTGTTGCGGCCTGGGACGGTGCTGCTTGTGGTGGATAGTCCTGGGAGTTATTCGACGTTGAAGTTGGGGAAGGGTGGCGATGGCGAAGTGCGGGAGAGACAGTATCCGATGAAGTTCTTGTTGGATCATACGCTGCTTTCGGTGGCGGAGGGGAAGTGGGAACGCTTGCTGTCGCAGGATTCGAGGTGGTGGAGAAGAGATGCGGCCAGGTTGAAGTATGATGTTGGGGAAGGGGCTGGGTTGGAGGATATGAGGTTTCAGGTTCATGTTTATCGGAGGGTTGGGGAGTAGGGTTTTATGTCTTGTTTGTATGGTTGCATTTGGTTTATGGCTTACAATGATACCTACCATCGTGGAATCTATGTCGTGAAGTCCGTTACCTGCTATAAGGTTTGGATAAGTAGAGGCACACTTGAGAGAGGAATGGGTATGATATTGCTACAGGTCGATGCGAATAAGGGTGCATGCGTGTGAGTGTGAGTGTGTAGGAGAGGAGGAAGAGATGAAGAAAGAAGACCAAACGACATTAATTCGCCACGGAGATCATGCACGCCTGAGATCCATCCGGTTGAAGGAAACGCAACAAAGAAAAGAGAAATAAGAAATACACGTAATTCCATTTACCAAGCCACAGCGCCTTCTAGTTTCTCAAGCCCAGCAAGAGGCTAGTGCTCTTTCCGCCTTCCTTGCCATCGTTACCGGGCAGATACGTGACGTTGGGGTTGTTGGCGAGCGTCGTCGCGATCTCCTTGCTGGCGTCGATACGACGGATCTCAATCAGACCACTGCCAGCCTTGGCAACGGCCTTGCTGATGATATCGGCACTCTCGGCTTCACCCTCGGCGCGGATGACATTGGCCTGACGTTCCTGCTCGGCTCTCTCGACGATGAAACGGGCCCGCTCGGCGTCCTGCTGGGCGATCTGCTTCTGCTCGACGGCGCGTGTGAATTCCTTTCCGAAGGTCATGTGGGTGATGGAGACGTCCTCGAGAGCGATGTTGAACTGAGAGGCTCTCTTCATGAGGTCTGTGCGGATACGGTTGGAGACAGCTTCACGCTGGGTGATCAGCTCGGCGGCATCGAACTGGGCGACAATGGCTTTGAGGACTTCGTTTCCGATGGACGGGAGCACACGCTCATCGTAGTCGATACCGTAGGACTATACGGGAGGGTCATGGTTAGAGAGATTGGTCTCAGTTGGGTATAGAATGGTACACTGTATCTTACCTGGTAGATGGCCGGCAGCTTCGGGACCTCAGGACGGTGCAGCACACGCAGAGTCAAGCTGACCATCTGCAAGTCCTTACTACCCGTGGTGGTAGAGATGTTGCGGGGCTTGGTGCGAACATCATAGATAATGGCTCGCTGCAACCAAGGGATGAGGAAGTGTGTACCCTCGTTCATGACCTTCTCCTGCACTCCGGACAATCGGTCGAAGATGACAGCGCGGGTACCACCGCGAACATCGTAAATGGAGGAGTTGAAGAGGTAGACTCCGGCCGAGATGGGCACGGCGAGGCGGTAGACCTGCTGGAGGAGGGTAGACATGGTGATGGAGTGATGAGCGAGGGGACGGGGACTTCAGCAGCGACAGAGAAACGACCGTAATTATCAGGCGGGCGGGAGTTTGGCTGGAGATGATGTCGAGGCTTTTCGCATGCTGTCCCAAAACGGATTAGCGCTGGGCGGTGGTTTGAACTTCCAACTTCGACTTTCGTCCGTTTTGGTCCGATGGTCACCGACGACGACTTCTCTCTCTCTCCTCTCACGCTCCATCTTTCCCTCCCCACATCGCGCTTTACGTCGCTGATTTCGTCGTATCTCTTCAAAATGGGTGGCCATCTCGATCCTAAGAATGGAGTGTGAGTTTTCTGCCCCATTGTCTCGTCTTGTCCGCTCCCTAGCTTTTCCGGGGGAAAGGGTACCGTGCGGTCTCGTCTGCCGTGATATCTACCCATGTCCCCTACATCAAATGACTTTGACTCATGTTGAGTCGTAGCTTATTGGCTAGTTATGATGGCTAACTTGTGATTCTTTTAGCTTCCTGGGCTGGTGGGGTGATCTGGGTATGTCTACAATATCAACGTGATTCGCTTGTCTGCGAAGCCTTTCGACTGTCAGCAATATCGGGCCATCGGGCTTGTTACTCGATTATAGCCCTGTACTGTCGACGAAATGCAGCTTCAATAACGACAGAATGCGCAATTGGATTTCGGAACCCCTGCTGACATGGCTTGTTTCTGCGCCATCTAGGATGCCCTACTCCCCAGCGTGTCACCTCCTACTCCATGTCCCCTAACCGCCAGCGCCCTCTTGCCGGTGCCGGTCACGCTGCCATCTTCAACGTTTTCCGCAGATTCAGACACCAGGTCCTCTACGTCGCTCCTCCCTTCATTGCCGCCTACGCCATCATGAACTGGGCTGTTGAGAGGTATGCCTCCCCCTTACGTGCGGACTTGAAGGCCAATAATACGCATGTTTCTGGTACAATTGGACATCCCAGAGCTGACGCTTGGACTTGCTTATAGGAACGAGTACCTCAACTCCAAGCCTGGCCGCCTCCTTGAGGGTGGTGACGAGTAAATGTAACGTGCCAGCTGGGAAAACCTTGAGAGAATAGGGATGGCATGGGGCAATATGGAAGGGCTGGATGTGTGATTGCACTGTACAGTAACTAGAAGCAATCGAATGTGTTGCAATGTTTTTGGTTGCCTTGACCGCGCGTGGGGTGCATCTGTAATCAAGAATGGGCGGCATCGTATAGGCCGGAGGGATTCCACACCCGCTTGAAGCCAACCCGTAGTGTAGTCTGCCAATCACCGGCGGCTATTGCTTGAGCCTTTTCAGCGCGGGAAGTATCCCACGCTTCATGGAGCAGGTCAATTGGCCATGCGAATTTTCTCTGAATATTTGCGATGCCGAGTGAGTGCTGCCCGAATGCCCGAATGTGATGATTGTGGTACAAAATGGAGATGTTGAACTGCCTTGGCCGTGATACTAAAGTATCCTAAAGGACCACTATTGCCCCGACGATTGGATGGAGAATAATGCGCGTTGACCAATTGAGTTACGCAAGTGTCTACTATCCCTTAGGAAATTCGTACAATTCTGATCAAGATAAGAAAGATGGAAGAGACTCTTTTGAGGCAAGTTGAAGTGGATGCTATTACTCTTAAGTTACAGACACAAGGTCATACCATAACCAGCAATACGGCAACCAAACCCACTGGCCAGAAGAGAAAATTACCGAAACGGGCGACAAAAGGGAGAAAACCCCACCTGAGTGGCCGCCATCGCCGGTGATAAATTACCACTGGTCAGCGGCCGTACATACAATTTTTCTGTTTCTGGTTTTCAACTTTTCCCCCACTCCGCATGCGTTCGTCTCTCGTCGCTTCTTTCCTTTCGCTTTCCTTCTCTCCTCCTTCCTCCTCTTCTCTCTCTTCCTCTTCTTCTCTTCTCTTCCGTCTCCCTTCAGCTGCTTCTTCGCTGTCTCCTCTCCGTCTTCGTCCTCGTCTTCTCCGTCCTTTTCACCACTCCATCACCATGAGCGACATCACTCACCCCACCATCAAGGGTATGTTAGTAGTAGTTCTTTACCTTATCCGCACCATCCAACCACCCCTCCATCATCACCTCGCGGTTTACCCCGCCTCCTGTTCTCTTCGCAATTCCCAAACCTACTCTTCAAATTCATTCAATGGATCAATTCCCGATTATGACGCTTCAATGAGCGCAATCTCGCCTCAAGACGATGTCATCTCACTACATACCCCTCCGACGAGAATTTATTACCCCTCCTCGCTAACATTGGCTCTTCGCTTTTTTCTACAGATGGCTGGTTCTCCGAGCAGTCTGACATGTGGCCCGGCCAGGCCATGAACCTCAAGGTTAACCAGATCCTCCACCACGAGAAGTCCAAGTACCAGGATGTTCTCGTTTTCGAGAGCAGCGACTACGGCACCGTCCTCGTCCTCGACAATGTCATCCAGTGCACTGAGCGCGATGAGTTCTCGTATGTTTTGGAACCCTTCCAACGAGCTATTTTCTATTACCGAAAACACCATTGGCCCTAACATCATATGACTATAGCTACCAGGAGATGATCACCCACCTTGCCATGAACTCCCACCCCAACCCCAAGAAGGTCCTTGTCATCGGTGGTGGTGACGGTGGTGTCCTCCGTGAGGTCGTCAAGCACGAGACCGTCGAGGAGGCCACCCTGTGCGACATTGACGAGGTAAACCAACAGAAAATCCCCGCGTCCTTGTGCCGTGTGTTGAGAATATCTGGCTTATTGTTTCTCAGGCTGTTATCCGTGTCTCCAAGAAGTACCTTCCTGGCATGAGCATTGGCTTCCAGCACCCCAACGTCAAGGTCCACGTTGGCGATGGTTTCCAGTTCCTTAAGGAGCGCCAGAACGAGTTCGATGTTATCATCACTGACAGCTCTGACCCCGAGGGTCCCGCTGAGAGCCTCTTCCAGAAGCCTTACTTCGAGCTTCTGCGCGATGCGCTCCGTGAGGGAGGTGTCATCACCACACAAGGTTGTTCGTCGCCTTTCATTAGTCCCTTCTTGCCCTTTCTATCCCACTTCTTTCTCCCCTTCTTAACTTCTCTCTATCTCTCTCAAACTTTTCATGTCGTTTGTGTTTTCTGTGTTGTCTGTATTTTCTCGTCGCGAACTATGAAGCTAACCTTGTTACGCCCCAAACCACCCGACCCCTAGCCCGGGATCGGTTTGGGTTCGTGTTTTCTACCCATACAGCCGAGAACCAATGGCTGCACCTGTCTCTGATCACCGACCTCAAGAAGTCCTGCAAGGAGGTCTTCCCCGTCGCTGAATACGCCTACACCACCATCCCCACCTACCCCTCCGGCCAGATCGGCTTCATGGTCTGCTGCAAAGATGCCACCCGTAACGTCAAGGAGCCCGTTCGCAGCTGGACCCGCGAGGAGGAGGAGAAGCTCTGCCGCTACTACAACCAGGACATCCACCGCGCCAGCTTCGTTCTCCCCAACTTCGCCCGCAAGGCTCTGGACGCTTAGACTATCTGAAGTTTTGTCGTTCTAATACTTTGGGTGGTGGCCTCCTCCTTTTCGAGGCCCCACGGCGGCTGATAATCGATGATGATCTGACGATGACGAATATAACAAAAGATTTCTGCTGCTTCCTCAATAATATTCCCCCGATGCTTCACATGGATATACACGTGAGATGCATGTCGAAAGGATTTTCTAAGATATAATACTAGCCAATATCCGCTTTGGGAGAAGTGGACACTATATGACTACGTCGTAATCCAACCGTATATGTACGCGCTTAGTTCGGTGTTGCTGCCGGTGAAGCTTGTCAAAGTCCACTTGAAAGCCAAAACTGGTGCTAGTATACTCCCATCATAGACCAATTCCCCTCTAAATCTACCCAAGGAAAAATAAAACTATCATAAACCAAGAAATTGAATAAGAAAGATTGCATATATTTTTATCTTCAAAGAAAAAGTCGTTAAAAATTAGGACTTCTCCCAGGGGTATCATCGCCCACAGGGATCAACATCGTCCCGGATACTCATAAACATGATTCAGTACAAACCATTACGATGCCACCGCAAGACATTTACAGAATCTGCTGGAAAGCACGGTTGATGGGAGAGCGCACGGTGTGGCCCTTGTAGAAGTCAATGGTGGCGACAGCGCGCTTGCTGATGCCCTCAGGAGTGAACTCGAATTTCTGGGAAAAGTGAATTAGCATATGCCGTTATCAAGGGGGTGGGGGGTATATGTATTTTGTAGCTTACCTTGTAGACATCCTTGTAGGGGCCAGAGGCACCGAAGCGGTTGAGACCGAACTGCTCGTGAGCGTAGCGCTCCCAGCCCATGGTGGTGAGAGCCTCGACGGAGAGGACGGGGATGTTGTCGGGGAGGACCTGGAGCTTGTAGGCCTTGTCCTGGGCATCGAAGACCTCGAAGCAAGGAACGGAGACAACGCGGGCGGCAATGCCGTGCTTCTCCTTGAGGTAGGTGGCAGCCTCGATACAGATGCTGACCTCGGAACCGGTGGAGATGAGGGTGACGGCAGCGTCGGGGGCCTCGAGGGCGACGTAGGCACCCTTGAGGGCCTTCTCGATGGTGGAGGCCTCGAGCTGGGGCAGGTTCTGACGGGTGAGGGCCAGAATGCTGGGGGTGTGCTTGGAGGTCAGAGCAGAGTAGTAGGCAGCGCTGGTCTCGTTGCCGTCAGCAGGGCGCCAGACCATGCAGTTGGGCAGAGCACGGAAGTGAGCCAGAGTCTCAATAGGCTGGTGGGTAGGACCGTCCTCACCCAGACCGATGGAGTCGTGGGTGGCAACGTAGATGGTGCGGACACGGGAGAGGGCCGACAGACGGACAGCACCGGCGGCGTAGGAGACGAAGTTCAGGAAGGTACCACCAGCGGGGATGACGGTACCGTAGGCGGCGAGACCGTTCATGACGGCGGCCATGGCGTGCTCACGGACACCGTAGCGGAGGTAGCGACCGGACCAGTCACCGATGTTGTACTCGGGGGGCTGGAAGTCGACGGCGTTCTTCCAGCGGGTGTTGTTGGAGCCAGTCAAGTCGGCAGAGCCGGACAGAAGCTCGGGGACGACATCATGGATCTTCTCGAGGACAGCCTCGGAGAGCTTACGGGTAGCAACGGCAGCGTCGGTGGGCTTGTAGACGGGCAGGCTCTTCTCCCAGCCCTCGGCAAGCTTGCCGGAGAGACGGCGGGTGAGCTCGGCGTGCTCCTTGGGGTACTCAGAAGCGTACTTCTGGAGGAGCTGGTTCCACTCCTGCTCCTTAGCAGCACCCTCAGCGGCGTGCTTGTGGTAGAGGTCGTAGACCTGCTGGGGAACGACGAAGGTCTGCTTGGGGTCGAAGCCGAAGAGCTGCTTGACACCCTCGCAGTCGTCAGCCTTCAGGGGGTTACCGTGGACACCGCCAGTACCCTGGAGCTTGGAACCGAAACCGATGGTAGTAGTCAGACGGATGACGGAGGGCTTGTCAGTGACAGCCTGGCACTTCTTGATGGCGGCCTCAATGCCCTCAAGGTCGTTGTCACCGTCCTTGACGTACTCGGTGTGCCAGCCGTAGGCCTCGAAACGCTTCATAACATCCTCAGTGAAGGCGCACTTGGTGTCACCGTCTGCAAAACACAACCGAATTAGTCTGGTTGTAATCCTGAGGGGATCAGGGTGTTGAATGAAGCTTACCGATGGAGATTCCGTTGTCGTCGTAGATAGCAATGAGGTTACCGAGCTTCAGGTGACCAGCCATGGAGGCGGCCTCGCTGGCAATACCCTCCATGGCGCAGCCATCACCGAAGAAGCAGTATGTGTAGTTGTTGAAGAGGGTGTAGCCGGGCTTGTTGAAGACGGCAGCGGAGTGACGCTCAGCAATGGCAAGACCAACGGCGTTGGCGAAACCCTGACCCAGAGGACCAGTGGTGACCTCGACACCGGGGGTGTCGTGAGCCTCGGGGTGACCGGGGGTGATGCTGTCGAGTTGCTACACGAGCAGAATGGTTAGGACATGACTACAATGAGCCCCCAGAAAGGACTCTCGGCGGATACATACTCTGAAGGACTTCAGGTCATCCATGGAGACCTGGTAGCCGAAGAGGTGAAGGAGAGCATATTGGAGCATGCAGCCGTGGCCGTTGCTGTGAAGGAATTAGTAAACCGATTACTTGGACAGTACTGGTGCAGGTCGGAACTTACGAGAGAACGAAGCGGTCACGGTTAGCCCAGTCGGGATTTTGGGGGTTGAAGCTCATGAACTTGTTGAAGAGGACGTGGGACACGGGGGCCATGCCCATAGGGGCACCGGGGTGACCGGAGTTGGCCTTGAAGGTGGCATCCACCTAGGGGACAATTAGTTTCAAATTTGACTCTTATCAATAATTCCTTGGAAGGAATGACCACTCCGCAAGCCATGGCTAGTAAAACAAGGAGCTCCGAGGAGATAGCAGCTACACATAGCTAGTCATCCGCGCGGGAGGCTGTGCTCCGCGGAGTCCCTGTGATACCAGGAATGGGCTTCCGGTGCCGGAGCTCTGGAGAGAAGCTCTCCGTCACACCGGAATCGGATGGGAGTGGGATAAGGAAGCAAGAGAATGGAAGCAGGAGATGCATACCGCGAGAGTGCGGATGGTGTTGATGGCCAATTGGTCAACGTCGTTGTAACCCATGATTGCTGTGTCTAGAAGAGAAGGAGGGAAAGGTTAGAGAGGGAGGTTGAATGGGGGAAAGTTGAAAGTTGTTGGGGAAGAAATGAGGGGAGGGGCCATACTATTTAAATCCAACCAAGTTCTTGTTTTTTAAGTAGCGGGATGATCCAACAAACAATCAACACAAATGGGAAGACCACCACGAGATGAAGAAAGGGAGAAAAGATGACTGAGAGAGGAGAAGAAGAAGAGAAAGAAGGAAGAAGAGAGAAGGAGAAATGATGACAGGGAAGGGGGAGGGGGGGGGAAAAGCGAGCCAGACGAGCGGAGTGGGATGGAGGGCAACCGCGACCAAGAGCAGAGAGAGGGTGAGAAAGGGAAGGTGGGGGGGGGCAATGATGTCTGTGGTGGGGCACCTCTCTTTCACCGGCTGCTCGGAGGGGGTTACAAACTCGCTGTCCAGTGTCCACGGCTATTCTTTTCTACTCTCTTCGGACTCGGGGTCGGCTATTGCTAGGCAATTGATTGATCTTGGACTGTAGATAACTGGATCTACAGCCGGAGAATGTGACGGAGATGATGTTAGTACGGGGGGTGTTTAGGGTGAAGCTGTCGCGGTCCTCAAGGTAGTTAGTAGGTACACTTAATGATGATGATGATGTTATGCACAATCTGCCCCTCCCCCGCTGCCTCAGGCAATAGGCGGTCCCTCCGGAATTCAATGCAACCTTTTTTCAGCTCTCAACAAAAGTACTGTAGAGCTACAGAGAACAATTTTGATATTATTTTTCCATCTATACTAGACTAGACAATTGATGAAGCATAGCAAGAGCTCGCTTCTGTTCACCATCATCTTCCTTGCCGTCAGCTATACGAGAGAAGTCTGGAAGTATCCCTCCGAAACGCCACCAGGAAAGCTCCCCCCTCCAACATTACATACTTGCTCGATAATTGCAGGGACAAGAGTTGCATTGCTCCTCCCCTCGACCAATTGTCTACTATTAAGCCCTGTAACCTGTCATATCGAAACACGCAGATCTCTGAGTTGGCCCTAACAACTCTCAGATAACATAACTACTCAACCTCTTACAAAATGCTCTTCACCCCGCCGGCCATTGACACTCTACTTAGTTTCTATAGCAATAATCACCCACCCACCACCATGTTATTTCCCGGGCTAGAAATCAAATACCTACCTATAGGCGGATTCCTCCCCAACATAGCAATTCTCCGGGAGCATTATTCATTCAAACGAGCCCCATTAGTCACCCCGTGTGTTTCTGTCCGCTGGGTCCCGGAGGACGCTGCTCCGCCAACGGGGTACCTTAGCAAGTCACTATCTCTCCGCTTTTTCCTTTCCCACGCTTTTACACGGAGTCCGGATTCCAGCCCAGTCTCCATCATTAATCATAACCACAACAACAACCACATTGTAGACTACTATTTAGTCTAGCTTTCGGAGCACATATCTCCTGAATAAATATTCAGCAGGTCAAGTGATTTGATTATGAAGCAGGGCCACGCGGCAATTGTCGGTCACGCATCGCAGCAGAAATTTCCCTCTCTTTTGCGTTGCTTCCGGAGGTTTGCATTTCCGATGCTTTCCATCCAGGGCAAGACAGGTCAGTACTTGGGTGTGTACCGTGAAAGAAGACATAGCGATGGCTGGCCAGTCCATTGTACCAAGTACTTGGTAGGTAGCTAGTAGGAGTAGGCCCACGTCAATCCTTGTTGCAACTAGAAAATCATCTCATGCAGCTAGAGTTGTGCAGTCGCCGACTGAAATGTTGTTATTTCCGGGTTACTGCTGTTGAAGTAGCTACTAGTTAGCTTACAAGGTTCATTCAGGGCCGCTCAGATCGAACGGCTTCCCCGATTAGTTCAAGCCGTGTGCCGTTCGGGGAATGCGCTCGGGACTCTTCTGCCTCTGATTGATGCTCGGACCGGGGATGGTGGGAGGGCCTGTGAGACGCATGTGTAAATACTTAGTAGTGGTAGGCTCGCTCTGCTCAGTCGTTTGCAGTCAGATGCGTCTGGTTCGAAGTATGCAGGAGTACTTTACTAAGACTATGCGCTTGCTCTACAATCATCATGTGAGGGTTGGCCATACTACCTCTTGGCAGGTGCATGTGATTCAATTCATGTGAGTCTGGAAATTCTATGGTAGGGAGCAAGCAATGGCTACCTTCGTTACATCCTGGACCCAGAAGGGAAGCAGGAAACATTAGAACTTGAATTGCAAGACGCGGCAATCATCCGATTCACAAGGATATGATTACTTAGAACAGACATACTTGAAGATCCATCATTCAAGATACTATATACTCAAACATTATAGGGACAAAGGGTCATGATATGACCCCCGACAGACACTCTTTGTAAAGTGCCAAATGGAAACCGAGACTCCCTGCACCGACCAGGTATCACAAACGAAACAGATGGGGGGAAACAACAAGGAAAAAGAAATACAGACTTCCTCTCGCTCCACCCTTACAATCCCAATAACAGAAGAAACTCCATTGACACCCAAAGGTCATTGCGTTCATGAAAAAGGCTTGTCTTCCGAGCATGATAGCTCAGACAGCCAGTCGCCGATCCCAGCCGTTAATCAGTCCAAACTCATCCACTTCATCTTCCACAGCCGGAATCATGACATTCCGGAACGAGCCCAAGAAATTGGCCTGCTCTTCCGGCGACAGCCGCAGATCGTTGTATGGCACCCCTTCTTCGGCACTGCCTTCGTCGGAGTAGCTGAGGACACTCTGGGCCGGTAGATCCTGGTTGGCTGGCACGTCGCTATTGCTACTGGCTGACCATGCCTCGGGAGACAACCCTTGCAGCTCTGCGTGTGGCGCTGACAACGGTGCTACCATGGGATCCCCCTTGTGGGCGAACTCAGCAGTGAGGGAAGCGAAGGGACCACTGTCTTCACCACACTCCCTTCCGCCATAGATCCCCGTGAAGATGTTCGAATAACCGCGGTCCATGTCACTCAGGACGACTTCCCAGTCGGATACCGTGATGGGTCCGCTCGGGTGATCCGAGGGTGCGGAGCTCGAAAGCACATGACTGCTATCATACGGGCCGGAAGACGAAGGATAGACTGTCTTGTTCGTAGATACATCTAGCGCGTGGAAGTTGTCCGGTGGCAGGCTGGCCCAGCTGGAGGACCTGATGTGGCGTTGGGCGGCATTGGGACTCGCTCCGCAGATAGTGGCCCTACGGGAGGGCGAATCCGGCGTTTCGTGGTGGTTTGAACCGGTCATTTCACTCAGGCGCGACTTCCACGACTGAAGTTGCTTCTTCGGGGACTTCAAAGGTCTCTGCAAGGGTGGCGACATGTCCTGCGGTTTGCCAATCGACACATGCCTGCTATTGTTCAAAGAAACGAAAACACTGGCCAAAGCGCTGAACTCTGCAGCAGAGGACGACGACTCAGATTCCAGTTGATCGATGACTGCGGTGAGCAACTTTTGGCTCTCCTTGACGAGCTTGCTGTCACGCTTCAGCCCGATGCTTTGCCAAAGAAGGCCTAGTCCTGTAGCGAAGACCAACTCCTTCCGATTGATACTCACAGAGAGACAGAGACGTCTCTCATCGAGCAATTGAAGGATCTGGATAATGTGCTTGGCTGAGTCGGATACAGTAAGGATAGAAGGGGACCGGACGTGCTCCTCGCCGAAGCAGACCGCAGGGCGGTGGATCAATGAACGAATGAAGTAGTAGACGAGGGACTAGAAACAAGTCAGTAAACGCATGTGATGATCGAGGAGCGCTTTCGGTAGTTACCAGAAGGGGCGATCGGCTACTAGTGACATTGGTGCTAGGCTTGTCCTGAGAAAACTCAAGGCGGAGGTGAGCAGGTAAGCCCTTCACCCAATCATCCAATTGCTCTGCAACTGAGCGTAGCTTCGACAGAGAGATATCATACCCTCCATCAGAGGGATAGATATCCTCCAAAACCTTGTTCAACACGCGCGAACCGGCGAATAGCGCGATCGCACTTGAGATACGGGTAGACTCTCCAGGAAGAGTGGGCAAGAAACCCGATTCCGTGACGTTTTCATCATCAATATCTTCCGGGTACTCGGTCTTGATGTCCTCTTCACGTAGTAGAACAGGCAATCCTGTCAAAGCAGCGGTGAATCTGGAAATGGGTTAGAAAAGAAATAAATTATGAAAGCCTTGAGAGAGCCTACTCACCGATCGAGAGTATATTGACACCAGAACACCTTCTTTCGGGTTTCTGCCATGAGAGCATTCGACGAGAAGCGTTTCTGGCTCTGATGCAGTCTAAGCTGTTGACTAAGACTGACGGCAAGACCCCGATAGCGTAGGAGGCTCGTGTAGTCGCCCTTCGTCATGCAGTACATTTGAGCGAGCACGTAGCATTGCATTGTTGCAATAGATACATCACTGGCAATGGATTCAAGGATCGAGGACCAATTGTCTTCGAAAAAGGTGGGGTCCTGGTTGGTTCTCGACTGCAAAAGCCCAATGAGTTTCCGGTATGGTCTGGCTAGATTAGGGTTAAAGCTTACCATTGAAGCAAGGGCGGCAATGCCGAAGATCAAATTCAGTTGTGCCAAGTCGTGTTTGCTGCCCTGCATAGACTCGGTGCCTGAAAGGTACTGTTCATAAGCTTTCAGAATAGTGGGTCGGTGAACAACCGGATAAAGAGGAGCCCATTCTTGGAAGAAGATGTTGATGAGCTGATCGGATACGAGCCGGGGCGCCGTGCGAATGGCCTGGTCGACGCGGGAATGGGAGATGGCCGGGGGAGCGGCTAAAGACTTGATCGCAACATTTGACGGCAAACGATTTTGATCTATGAGTTTATTCGTGAAGACGTCTAACGGGGTTAGCCATAAGCCTTTGTTCAAAAACTGCTTCAACTCGATTCGGAGTTTGCATGGGATGGGCCCCAAGATGTGAGCAAGTAGGGACGGTTGAACATACCAACAAAACCGCGAGTACTGGAGATTCCTGCACTATCAGTCGAGGTCGACTCGGTAGGCGGCAACGATTGTGGGATTTGAATTACACCCTCATCTGCATCGGGGGCGTTGGACCTTGCAGGCGCAGATGGCGACGGCGCTGCAGCACTAGGTCTCTGACGCGAGGAAGGAGAGAAAGAATGTATACGAGAGAGCACATCAATCTTCTCATCCTTTTCATCCAACAGGTTCTTGAGATCCCTAACTTCAGACTCTAGGGCGCGCACTCTTTCCTCCAGCGACTCGGTATATCCACGAGGGAAAGCACGGCGACTGAGCTTGTCGCTAGTTTTGCACTCGAAGCCGACATTGGCGCATTGTGTACAACAGGGACGGACGCCGTCGCAACGGATTTTCTTGCTTCGGCAACGATCACAGGCCTGGGCGATACGACTCTGAGAGCCGTTCCCGACCTTGATCACTTTCATCGGGAGAATTCCAGGCATGTTGGCTGGATGCTGTGGCGCATCTGCCTTGGGAAATGGATCGAATTGGCGCCGGACTCGGGGAGTAGATTCGACGGTACACTCGAGGGGGGTTTCAGTAGTAGTTGATGCGAACGCCTTGGGATCACCAGTGAGACGGGTCTGGAGAACCTAGGTGTAACTCTCTATGTGAGAGGAGAGGGTGGAGATGCGGAAGTAGTGTCGAAATTAAGGTAAGCGGAGGATAACAGCGGGGTTAGGGGACTTTTGAAAGAGAGAGAAGGTGGGAAGAGCCAAAGAGAGAGTGTGTGGTGGCGGTAAGATGGGTTTGTAAGGCGTGAGGATGAAGGAGAGGACCGACGGGGCAGAAGAAGAGCGACCAGAAGCAAGCAACTTTTCGATGTAAGTACGTACGGCGAAGGTATCAGGCCTGGTAACAAATGTTCCGCGGTGCGGCCTGAGGATTGAACCGGCTCAAAAGGGGGGCTGGTGGGGCTGTCTATTGTGGGTCATGCGCTGGAGTGCCGGCCAATCCCCGTTGTGAACTCAGCTCATTCGCTCAGCCGACAGTCGGCGGGCTTCCAAAAGTTGACTTGGAATCTTTGGAAGGTTTTGTGGGTTGGAGTAATACCGGTATGGTAAGTCTGGAGCCGCTGAGGTTATTCGAATTGAGTGACTCTTCTTCCCCGGTCCTCGGCACTTGTCGGTTGACAGCAGCTGATTTGTAGCATCACATACTATGAAGACACACAGGACTGGTTTCATCTCTGGCTTACATTGATTGATTCGCCATTCATCTACTAGTGGTCTGAGTAGTAGTACTAGTCAGTATCTATCTACCTATCTAGATACGCGGGTAAATACTAGAAATGACTAGCTGAGCCGAGGCGGAGTATTGCATCGGAGAACGAGGGATACTTATGTGTTTAGTCGAGGCTACGTAGTATCCAATAGGTAACAGCATTAAATTGCTTATAAGCTAGTACTAGTAGATAGCAGTAAGACGCCGCCCCCTTCGTCTCATCAGCATCAATCTCCTCGCTGTCACCTTTATCAGAAAAGAGAAAAAAAAGTTGGCACTGACAGGCCCCTGGCACAACCCGCGTCGACGCCTCGGCACTGGCGGCGGCAGGAACAACTTCCACCAAGGGCAAGTCCACAGCAGACCTACTCCGACCAGCGCGGCCACTAATGTATGATTAATGGCACCGGTGCAATAAGGCCTCTTTCCACCGGAGATTCCTACCGTAGTACATTAATTCTCCTTACAGGGGTGTTCAGAAGGGCAAGTGATTGGCGAGCCATAAGACACACAACCAGTCAGATAGGATCCACGATGGGGTTCTCGTATCATCAAGGTTGAGTGTCCCGTCTATTGCCATATCTAATCATATCGTCACGGATGGCTGCCAAGGCCCATGGTTGCAATCTATTCCCCCTCGCAAGCACGGATTATCGGGGTGATTATGGAGAATGCACGAGGACTAGTATGTAGATGAACCAGACAAAACCGACACTAGCAGAACGCAAGTGCGGTCCGGCTCTTGAAGATCACAGCATTCCGAGCCAGCAAAGCTTTGCCGGTTTCCACCGGGCTCGCGGTCCGACAAATGTGGGAGAGTGGATGGGGACCCGATGGAGATCACTTTCAGTCTTTTGCCAACTGTCCAGACCATCAGACTCTAATATTACCACTTCTCTCTACCGTGGTTGGTCAACAACCAACCACCACCTCCCCGCGATTCGGAACCCAACTGGCACCCGGACGCTTGATTTACCAAATGACATTGAATGGTGGGCTATTCAGACAGGTTACGTATTCATCTACAAGCGATCTTCAGCTTTCTTTGAGTTTCTATCTTCTGAAAGAAAAGAAAAACAAAGTTGATTATAATACTGACGATTATGAAATTGTCTCATGCAACTGCAAGGCAGATCTGTTGCTCTCACCATTAATATTGACTCCAATTCCAGCCCAACCAGGGTGGGGAATCCGAGCGTTTGCCGAACCATTCCCGTTTGAGTCAGGGCCTCGTTCCCTGGGTCACTTTGGATATGAACTGCCTCATGCGGTGTCGCCACTGATTTCCCCCCCGGCGTTCGCGGCTGGAAGATTGCGGAGAGTAAGCGCTCCTGATCTTGGATTCTGGATTATTATCCTCGTATTCCCATTGATCGAATGGCACGATGCCTGAACGAGATCGAGTCTGCTTACTTTCTCAGTGGGGAAACACCAAGAGGATTCAATATCACTCATATAAAAGCTCCTCAGCTGCAATTTTCTTTGCTTCTTTCTATTTACTTTTTTTTCCCCTCGCCCTGCCCGACGGGGATATCCGACAGACTTATCAGCGACTAGTGGTTATCACATTCATTAATATAATATGTCCTGGGTACTCCGAGCGCTTTATTTTTTTTCATTTATGTTGACCGTGGCTCGGTGAAAGTTGGTCGTGCGCCGAGCGTTTGCCGAGAAAACGCAGAGGTGGAGGCGGAAATCCATGGACCATCAATGACTGCAGTCTGGAAGGGGGTTGTGATTCGCCCACTGCTATTGTACTAGTTTTGTAAAATCAGTGCGATGAACACCTGAGGCAAGACATTTTTGGTTTATTAACGAGTAGTCAGCACTGCTTCGGGCCAGTTGACCAGCCCGTGTGACATTCACATTGGTCAGTAGTTCGGCGCTCTGCAACTTCCGTGCATATCTCACTCGAATGAATTCTCCCAGGCCCAGAAGGCTGGCTGGCTGGCTGGCTGGACCACCTTCTCGTTAGCCAGGGTCTCCTGGGCCTCTAGCAGTCGATCATGGCGGACCGTAGCTGTAGCGTGCATGAATCTGGCCCCACGAGCTGAGATCCTGATATGTATCTTACTAGCATCTTCAACATTCCCCGATGTAACTAGGATGTACCTAGTACGTACCTGATGGCCTTCTTACATGGGTACTTTCACGGTAAGACCCAAAAGCACGCGAAAATTATCCGATCGATGCCTAGTAAGATACCACAGGGCTGCAGTAACGAATCCCTCAGGTGAACTTTACTGTAATATCTTACCAACACACCAACTCAATCTTCATAGTAAGTAGACACCACCTCAGCGACATCGGACCCTCAAAAACCTTAGTTAACTCCAAGTACTAACTTACCAATAATCACCAATCAGTATCTAAGCTGGAGCAACTCCCTTGGCAACCCCAAGTATGAATCACCGCAAACGTCATCACTACAGCACAATCCCATACTTACTATTTCAATAAAATAAATAGAATAAATAGTCTCGTGCCAATCCCTCCAGGCAGACTAGTTACAAAATGGCATTTGCCCAGAAATTGTAATTTAAAGTTTCACCAACCAGAACCAATTAATTCCTTTTCTTTTCTTCTCGTCACTTCTTCCAACCAATCCAACGCTCTCGTTTTTGGGAAGGATCGCTTTACCCCGCGGTGGGTAAGATACTAAGTACTTACTTACTCAGACTAACTCAAACTCAGATCTTCCGGGGGTGGTGGTGGTGGTGGTGGTGGCTTAGTTGCGAGGTGGAAATCTGGTCCCTCCACGTTTTTGTGGCCATGGTTTTAATTTACTGTGCTGTTACCGGTTGGGTATTATTGTGTGGGTTTGATACGAGAACTGAGTTAATTTATAACTAGTTGCTGCTGCTTAGTAGTGATGAAGGATCGGCATGCATGAGATTTGTGTTGGGTTTGATTAGGTGGTTGGTTGGTTGCAGATAGATAGGTTGGCACTGTGCTACTCGTTAACTAGTTATTGACTAACTAGGGTTGCTTGGCTAGAGTGTTTCATTGCTATAGTGGGTTTGAGATGGCTAATTAGCTAGACTAGAAGTGAACAAGTGGGTGTTTTAAGATCGTAGTTCACTTTCAAGAGAAATCCTCCTCGATGTCCCCTGATTGTTGGGTAAGGTAGGCGTTGACTGCGGGGCTTGACATGAGAGTTTCCCGCTGTTGTTTGGAGGATCGACAATTAGTATCTTTTGGCTATGTTTGATTTATTGTGTGGGGTTTACAATATGGGGTAAGAGGTAGCGAACGGGAATATCACACAACGTACCTGGTTAACGAGGTCCTCGATCGCCCGTTCCATAAGCTTGGATTCCAGCTCTCGTAACCTCAGGACTGTCTGAAACACAAATGGTTCGAAAATAGCACGCATGTCTTCGTTCTCGCGGATCTCGCTAATCATCATGTCGGTTTGGCGGAGGACGAAGAATTGGGTCTCCAGTCGCTCAAGGATGAGCACCACTGCACGAAGCTGGTAGATGTCCCATTGGGGATCTGCAGCTAGCAGATCCCTGAGACAGCTTGCGTCCCTCACTTCCTGCCCGTTCCAGGTAGCTTTAAGTTCCCTGCCGCCATCAGTGGTCTGAAGGACGTTGAAGTCCAGCCCGTCTTCCTCGTTCACGCATGCCCACCAGATGATGGGGCTGTCCCAGGTTGTTGTTGCGGCTGTTTCTGAGCCGCTAGAGGAAGTAGATATCTTGACTCCGGGTGTATCTTTGCAAAATGCTTTCTTTGCTATCTTTAACGGATCATCATCTGGGATGTCCAAGTCAAGGAAGATCTGCTTAGCGTCCGTGGTATGCTCGTCGAGGAATCCATATGAGAAAATCATTTCTGAAGCAGACTTCTCATCACCATACCTTAATATCGTCAGTTTAAGCAAGCTCAACTAACAAGTAGTCAATATAAAGACAACACTTACGAGATTGTGACCTCCTCATCAGCCCGCAAGCTCCGTCCATCCCGCAACTGCAACACAGCATTCCCATCGGCATCCTCGTCATACAACGCCTTGACCGTGCCCTCAGGAGCATGGTTTGCCATATCGATACACGGAACCATTGCATGACCATGCCGAGGCAGATCTACCATGCGTGACCGGTACAGCGCATCGACATATTTCCAATCGTTGAACGCCAGTCTCCCCGTATCCTCATCCCACCAATACTTTTCACACCAGTCCAAACCCTCTGTGCTCTGACGCAGGTGTTCGAATTCTTTCTCCAGCGAGGCAATCTTCGCATGCACAGCCAACCTCAACGAGGAGCCGCGCAAGAGCTCTAACTCCTCTTCACTGTAGAATGTAGGCAAAGGTATAGAAGACGGCATATACTTCATATATTCGGTCCAAGGGCTCGATAGTCCAATCTGGTGGCGCTCATGCGCATAGTCCGGGCTAGAGTGGGTGAGTTGCACGAGAAGGAAGATTAATATGGCGCCTCTGGCTGTCTGTACAGATCAGCATAGAATTAACACGAGCTCATCCGTCTCTACCCGAAGAAGCCATAAACACGGTATCTGTTTGGCCGAAATCGGAGTACAATGAGGAAATAGACCTACTCTTCCAAAGTCCCCGACAACTTCTAATACCTCACGGAGCTGTCTATCCGATTTGGAGTATTCTTCAACAAAATCAAATGACAGGACCAAGTCAGATGGTACTCGTAGAAGTACCTCCGACTCTACCGCGTCGCTCGCTGCATTTCCACTGGCTTTTACCTCGGTTGCAATAATTGCAGACCCCTTGTCGGTGCCATCATCTGCTTGCAATTTGCGGAAAGCGATACCATTGACGGAGACCCCGTTGAGCTTTATCCACGACGGAAGCGTCTCGATTGGATAGTATCCGTGCTTCATCTTGTCAAGTTTCAGTTACGGGGCGTTACTTTTGCAGTGGCAAATGCGTACGAACACTATAAAGCGAGCATGGTGCAGTCTGCGACGTACAGGTCAGGTGTTTGTTTGTCCTTATCGATAAGAAGGCGGGGAGCTATCCCCATGCCCTAAGCCCTATCCATGACCGTTGATCGCAACTGGGGTACATTGCGGCATGTAGACGTCATACAAAAGCTGTCGAGCCGGATTCTCCAGGCGAACTCGATCGGACCTAAGCTAGTATTAATTGAAACTGCGGGGACGTTCTGACTTAACCCGGACAGATAAGTTGTTATTATTGCTTTACGTGAAAGACATAGTGCTGCGTCAATAAGAACCACTTTTACCACAAGGTCTACCAGCTGCTTCAGTACTACAACCACCAATATGCCTGCCAACACCCGCATTCAGTCTTCAGCTTCAAAGCTCCATAATCTGCTTGTACCCCGGCCTCCAACACCGTGTCTGCTTCCACTGCGCTCTATCTGGCAGCCGGCTGCGATTCATACCCCGAGAAGCGTGCAAGCACGCCTAAACAGCGGCCTGGGCAAAGACTGGAAGGGTACTGGGGCGGAGGATAACGCAGTTAATCGAGCAGAGAAAAATGATACCACGGATCCAACAACAGATGCATCAGCTTCTGTTATGCAAGACAGAAAGGAGGGCGGGGGTAACGACGCAAAGCCTCAGGGAGCAACAGAAAAGGGAGGTAGTCAGCATGGAAAGAAGGCGAAGCAGGATCATCCGAAGGCACCTGAGCCAATTATTGGAATGAATGATGAGAGAGGCGGTGTAAGTGCTAATGCAAAACCCATGCAAGCTTATACATTCATAATAAATTTCGCGGAGTTCAGTTGAATGGCTAACTGATTTCGCTCTGATAGAAGGGTCATTAAGCCCAGGGCATATATTGGTAATTGGAAAAGCTCAGGAGCGATTTAAGTAGGACTGGAAGATGCTAGTCTTGGAGCTATATCATCTCAGTACTTGTGTTTCATTATCATGTTGACTGTACATAAAATCTTGAATAGCAGGATCTATCGACCAGGTTTGAACGACAGCACCTAAAATAGAAAGGTTAGCTTTGGCGCAAGCAGTTTGATCTGGGCAGGAAATCGTACATCGTGCTTTCCTACTTCCACTATTTCGTCCTCTGAGACACGGGTGCCACCGACTCCTTCAATGTAGGAAATGGGTACGTCACCCATCACCTTGCGAGCAACGTCGCCCACAGTGGTATTCCTGCTCGGCGTCAGAAGGTCCAATTGGAGCAATAGGTTTCATATCAAGGCCACTCACTTTCCAACAAGAACGCAATCGCGGAACACAGCCGTTCCGGCACCAGAAGAGAAGGTGGAGATGTTGCGAACGGGGAAGACAGGCACGAGCCCCAGCAGTTCTGCAGCACGTGAAAGGCATTGGACAACTCCTGTAGACCCGAAACGATAAAGTACCATGTCTTTCAAGTTCTCAACGCGCCTATGTGCATGTTAGCATGGCCCTACTAAAAAGGGCGTAGATAGTGATTTCGTACTGTGTGAGCTTCTCGTCCATCTCTTTGAGGCCGCCTCCATCAGGATCACCCATCTCGATAAGGTCCTCCCTTGTATCCAAGAACTCGCTTCCTTCGACGTACTTGATGTATCCCTGTTTTGCTAGCCTGCGAAGGAAAACCTCTGAAATGGCGGAGCAGAGTACGATTGTTTGAGGATCTTGCATCTTTGCGATTTTGCTAATATTCTAAGTCCACCTTGTCAGTAACGACGGCAACATGGTGACTTGAGATATATGACCAACCTTGTCTGCATCCGGATGATCAATTTTGTTCAAGGCGAAGACTGTCGGGAACTTCTCTGCGATGAAGGCTTCAACGACCTTCTCGACGGTCTCATCGGACCACTCCTCGAGAGGCTCTTTCAACCCCATCCGATCCAGGCATCGGGCAACAATCGCGTTTGTACCTCCGTAACCGGAAAACTGGGCTTGCAAGGTATCCACAGCCGTAGCCTCTGATGTTGATTAGCACAGAAAGATGTTTCTGGCTGATTTATGACCAAACTTACTGACTGCCATGTGTCTCCTCTTGATGGAACCCCTGCACAGTATTAGCCCTGATTATGTAGCTCCTGGCGCGCAAGCATACCATTTCTGCATGAGATTTCCCAGAACCCAGCGTACAATTTCGGACCTCAGCCATTCAATATCCTGTGAAGGATCGTATCCTCGTGTAGCTTTGCCTGTAATTGTAGAGTGCGACATCAGTGATGTTATTCTGATAATTTTCCAGATATTAATATTTCATACCTTCCGCATCGGTTGTTCCACTAACGTCCACAACGTGGATTAAAGCATCGGCATGGCGCAGATCATCCAAGAACTTGTTACCCAGACCGCGTCCTTGGTGTGCACCTGGTACAAGACCTGCGACATCCAGAAGTTCAATGGGAACAGAGCGCCGTCCCTCCACACATCCTCCATAGTTCGGCTTGCACTTATCGGAGACATTGAATCGTTGACAGGCGCATTCTATCTGAAGGTACCCAATGGCGCGCTGAGGATCGATCGTAGTGAAACTGTGTTTCGCCAGTCAGAACAGCTCTGATAAATGGTCCATTACGGCGTCCGAAGGGCGATATCGATATCGATGTAGGACGATAACGGCAATAGGATTGAACATACGGGAAATTTCCTGAATGTGAAACATGCCATAAGTTTGTGCTCCGACTCAATTCAAAGCGCAGAACTTAATTAGCTTACCGACTTTGGAAGAGGCATCTGTCAGACTATTTAATGTGGTCGATTTTCCGCTGGATGGCTACATGCCCCTCACTTCGATCAGCGGCGTCTCGTATGAGGGGTAAAAGAATCCCAGACCTTTCCGACCAGCCCAATTAACGGATCTCTAGGCATCTTACAACGCGCGCAGCAATTCTAAAGTATATGAGCAAGAAAAGAATGATTTTAAGAAAATAACATCGATCTGATCGCTTGAGTGTTGGGGAAATCATTTCTGCATCAGCGGGGAGACTATCAATTTCTGCCATCCTCCCTAGGAAGGCGGTCTGAGGGCCGCTGTTCCCGATCGAGACCCCGATTGTCCCTGAATCTGAACAAGATCTCTTCGATATAATTCCGTTCTCAAGCATTAACGTTGATAACATTGATATGCTTGACGCTGCTAACGGTGCTTGGAGCTGCCACAAAGTCCAGTGGTTTCATGCTACGTCCGTGGGGTGCAATAGCCTACGCGTTGTGACAAGCATCGCTTTCGGTCCGTCCTCAGATTGACAGTCGCCCTTGATAGTATTGTCTTCTCCAAAACAGTCGGAGATCAAGCCTAAGATCACATCCATATGGTTTTTGACGCTGATATGGAAAGTTTGTGACTCCGAGTAAGATGCTGAAGACTCACTATACTGGATCAGACTTAGCCCAATGTCCAAGCCCAACATCACATGTATCAACCACAGGTACGTATTCACGAGTATAGGCACGACTTGAGTCTCGGATGAGATGTGCTTGCATCATAATCGGGGAGCAGTGCTCCGTGTTGAATCCCGTGCTGTGTAGCGATTTCAAGCCTCATTTGCAGATTTGTGCATCAATAGCACTCGAGAATCGTTGGGCACCTAAGTGGTGCGTCATTCGTTAGACTAGGGAAGCTGTCTGCTTAGCATGTCTACTCATCTCAACAAGCATTAACCCCGCTTGGGGCTGCATGATGATGTCCCTGGATTGTTCTATCTTCAGTATCAGATCTGATATGGCATCACAGGCGTGCTGATCCCATGTACCTGGGGCTTGGCTTAGAGCGACTCCTGTCCCTTCACCGGTGCGACTTTAGAGATGAATATGTAATAAAAATGGGTCAAGAAGTTAAAGGAATGAGAAGGAATGATAGATTCCAGGTACACAGTATCAGCATTCTGCTATGCGGAGAACTGTCGTTGTTGTTGCCATCATCGATCAGACAACTCCAAGGCTTCAGGGGACGTTGTTTCACCGGCAACCTCTGATATTCCCTCATCCAATAGAACGATTTCCAGTCAAGACTTGTCTTATTCGTTCATAGTCTCCATAATTGAGTGGACACTGTAGCCCCAATGATGAATGGGTCAAGGATGCTGGGTTGGTTGCAAGGTGAACCAAGGTGTAGCCGGCTTGTATGACGTCGTCGCGGCCAACGTCACCGGCCACGCCCATCGGTTCTCGTCCACTGCAACAACATATTAAAGGTACATTGATCCCATCAGAATCACTTTAGCAATCAATCAACTCTCAATCCATCCTCACAATCAATCTATCGCATCTCAAACCACAAACTTCACCTCAACTACCACTTCATCAACCACACACACACAAAATCTCATCCAAAATGTCCGAACAGACTTTCCACACCACCATCCAGGACATCCGCAAGCCTGAGTCCCATGCCTCTCATGCTCATGATGGCAAGACTCCCAAGAACTCTAACGTCTCCGCCATGAAGGTAATTCCTCACTTGACCTATTATCTCTTTTGACTTGACGGATGCTAATAATATACTCCAGTCCATCATCGATGAGAACACCGACAAGCAGGCTCAGATCGATAAGGCCCAGTCCAACCTGCCATTGCCCGAGGATCCCCCTCGTGCTAGCGACTGGAACTCTATGGACCAGAGAACTGTCAACGTCGGTTCGGGTGGTCGCGAAGGACCCGTTTCGGGCGAGAACAACAGCGCTTTGAGAGAACCCGCAACTGCAAGCAGCAGTGTCCGGGTATCTGGAGAGGAATACCACAAGAACACGCAACCCATGAGTGGTGTTGGACGCCAGGGCAAGGATAACCTTGAAGGTCTGCCCCGGGATGCTCTTTACCGGTAAAATGGATGTTATGAGTTAATGTTGGGGAGGGCGTATTGACTACGGCCTATCTTTATGTGTACTATTATGACTTGAGCATTTAATGAACCAAAATGGATGTCCTATAGCCATTTCTAT